GGGGTCCCAATGATCCAATCCCATTTCCCACCTGAAATTTTGGCAAAATCCCAGTCCCAGTTGCATTTTTATTAGAAATCCCAGTCCGAGTTATTGAAATCCCAGTCAATAAAAAACCCTTTATTTATCGGTACAATAAACAGTTTTAAGACTTTTAACTTTTAAGCTGCCGTGTGTGCAAGTGGCGAACACTTTATGAAATATTGTGGGAGCTTCGTGCCGAAGGCACGGAAAATTTTTAAATTTGAATCCCGGAAATGGCATTTGCAGCATTCTGAGACACGCATAATCAGAAAACCCAGAATTTCGGGCGCCAGAGTATGCCTGTTCTCAGGTAGTGCTGTGAATAATATAGTTAACAACAAAAATCATGACCAAAGACACGAAAAACGGATCAAAATTGTATTTTAAAATACTTAAAACGTAGAAAAATTGGGAATCGACTCGCATTACCTCAATCCCATTCCCATTTTTGAGAACTTCATTTCCCATTCCCAGTGGCCAAATCCCAGTCCCAGCAACCCAAATCCCATTTTCCCAGTCTAAAAATAGATCAATCCCAGTTCCCATTTTACCCCTTCAGGGCCCTCATATGATTGTGTAATCATGCATAAATATTGGGAGGTCAACCTCAGTAACACAGCAATTAGCAAACGCACCAATATAAAGAGAGTACTAGAGAGAATGCCCTCATTGGATGACCCCGGCTAAGTTCCGTTTACACTTAGCCACAGTTCCTAGACTGAGCCACAGCAAACATTGTAAACGGGCCCATTCCAGATAACAATAGACAAAGAACAATCACAAATTAACTGCATTCTGGCTGGTCCATCTATTATTGCGTAAATAATATATACTTATTCGCGAATAATTCAACAAAACCACAAAAACAGTCAAAATTAAATATAAAAAATTCCGCGGATTTTTTGCCGCCATGTTTTGGTACCGAACTCCCGGATGTAGTGTAATTTCGTGCCTTACTGCGCACGCGCATAGCGTGACGTAATAAAACAACAAGGCAGCGAAGTTTTATTATTGTGCGTTTGAGCAATTTTAGAGCATTTTATCGCCTTTTTTCCCTTGAAAATCATGACTATTTTGCCCAAAAAGAAACATCCGGATGGAAAGAAGAACGAGGGGAACAACGGCAACGATTTGCGGCACTCTAGGTCGCGAAACAACTGCGCTAGAACTAGCGGAGAGCGAGCGAACAGATCATCTGACGAGATAAACGAAAGCGCCGGGTATCGAGGTGGAAACTTGGAGCTTCGCGGCACTTCGGAAAGCTCTAGCAACGGGAAAAGACGCTATAGGAACTCGACTAACGACTACAGACGTCGAGACGAGGCAGGGTATAATAGCGAGGACGAATACGACGTTTGCGAGAGCAACGAACAGCCCACGGAAGAGGTTAGACCTCATGACTTTCACATCAAAAGTGCTTAATATGAAATTTTTCGTTTAGTTCCTGTCTTAGGCAATGTCGTTTCTATCTTACTGAAAGGGTTTCCTATCTTCCCTTAAGGTCGAGAAACAGTTTGAAAAGATTTTGAAAGAAAAAAAGGGTTTTGTGATTAAAAAAACTGTGGAAGACGGTGCTTGTCTTTTCAGGGCTGTGGGTAAGTTTGGAAAGGAAATCTGGAATGCCAGATTGCCTTGGGAGAGGCTAGGGGGACGGGAAATACCATTGTATCTAGTACTTATCAAGTTTGGGGATTTGTTGGATAGTTGCTACGAATATACTTCAATTTCTACATGAGGCATAGCAATGTACAAAATTTTATGTGTGTACATTATTGAATAGTTTGTTTCATTGTAGGAAATGCTAATATAGATAAGAAAGCTTGGCATTGGGGGGGATGCATCGGCAACTACCTGAGAATACAAGGAGAACTTTAGTTTCGATTGAAGGCACGTTGTCAGGAATTTACCGGCGAACAAAGTGCCTTCTCTCGAAATGTTGAATTTCTTATATTTGTCAGATATTTGCATCTTTATCAATCCAAAACTTGCATTATTGAATAGCATCTAGTGCAATACTTCTGACTTTGCCAAATCGGTGGGTCTCGGCAAGCGTTACATCGCAGCAGACGATGGTCGATTTCAAAACTGTTGACATCCAGATACGAGCAAGAAAGTTAAACTATATCTCTCGATTTTTATTTATTTTACTCCAAATATAAAACTGCTACGTATATTCAAAAGAATTTCGAACAATCCGTGCCAGGGTGGGTAGCGACGGTAGCATGACAGCGACAGATCGAGAGGGATATAACTATGTGAAAAATATAACCAGAACTTTGATGTTTCAGGGCGCAAAATAATGGCCGGTCAACGGATTAATGTCCAGCTTGAATGCTTAGTTGTCCGGTCAAATTCTTACCTTGCCGGTCATTTTGACCTGTCACTTTAGGTAAAAGAACAAACTAATCTTCATAAATTTTATAATCAAAATACAGTTGTAATCAAAATACTGTTGTAATATTATAATTAAGAACCATAATATGTTGTCGAATATTTTGCGGGAAAAGAACTTCAATAGGGGTGCACCGGATTTGGAATTTTCAAATCCGGCCGGAACCGGATTTACTGGACTTGGACAAAAATTCCGGCCGGATTTGTCGGATTTGAGATAGATAGATAGATAGATAGAGACTTTATTTAAAGAGGGTGACACTTAATAGTACAAAGTACTAATGAACTTGTGGCCCTCATAAAATTTACAAAAATATGCGAGATAAACCGGTAATGGGGACAATTGGGCATAAATCAGTATTCAAAATGGTGGTTTATGTTTTTTACGTTTTTTTGCACCCCTAAACTTCAATGTACGCATTCCCACGCAGTACGTCACAAAGCCCAAGGACATGCTTTTGGCTTAAGAGTTAAGGCCATGGTTTTAGCGCAGTGCAAGTTGTTTTATGTGAGGGGCATTTTAAATTACTGATTACAGTAAGGCTTTTTGTAATACTATGCTGGTAAATAGTCACATTTTTAGGGGTATACTTTACTAGGCTTTGCTTTAAGCTGAATAATTTGACCGGCCAGAAATTCGGTATGTCCAAGCTAAAATTGATTTGGCCAGTCACCTTGACCGGTGACCCTCCAGCCATTATTTCTCACCCTGCGTTTCGAGCGAAGGCCCTTCGTCGATGACCTCCAGTTGACTGCAATCCAGTGAAACCAATCTATTAAATGTAGAACAGCTTGATATATATTTTGTCTGTAAAGAGCTAGTCGCAATTGGAAATTGAAATTTAAGCCATTTCAGAAAATACTTCCTTATATATCTTTATGCAGGAAATGAGTCATTTCCTGCCCCCCCCCCCCCTGGGATTTTGAAGTACATTTGATGAGGTCTTGATGAGACACATGTAAGAATAGGCAACGTTTTTTGTTTAATAATTGATCAATCATGGCACTATAAAAAATTGCCAATTACAAATTGTATTGCTAACTGCCTGGATACCCGATATGCTGGATAATATATATAAGTTGGGAAATATCTGGCCGGATATTGGTTATATAAGGTTAATCATTCAAGATTAAATAATTATTTTCATTTGTTATAAAGTGACGGTGTTTATAATATATTGATTTGAAATGATAGGAAAGAACTAATTCACAGTCCTACATCGACAAACATGTTTAAGAATTTAAATTTGAAACCGATTTTTTCACATTTGCAAATAAGCATGAAAAATCTTGAAAATATTACCAGTTTCTCTACGATCATTCTAAGTAAAAATATGGTAAATACTCATACTTTCTAAATCGTATGACATCATTTTTAACCTGAAAAGAAGGCCAGAAATGTCCTGGGGTGTGTGGATCTTTTCTGGAATGACCCTGTATATTTTGACCTTTAGATAATTGTATCTGTGTAATATATTTGTGTTTTCAGCGGATCAAGTTTATGGTGATCAAGAAATGCATTCAATTGTGAGGAAACATTGCATGGACTACATGGTAAAATAATTGAAAACTGAAAATCTTTGTCTGTAATGTGCTAGATTCTTCCCAGCGTAAAATTAGGCTATGTTTTTACATAGCAGCGCAAAAAAGCATCTGTCCGATATGGGTAGGGATGAGCCGATTAATCGATAAATAATCGG